TTTCAAATTTTTTAGTTCATCATAATAAAATTTTGGTCAAAATTGGTTGTAATGCAATTGATATCTCTCTAACAATTGATATCAATTTTTCAAATACTTTGATTTTACAAATTTTAAAAATTTTTGACCTAAATTTGAATGTTTATGCATGTGGTTTAAATGAAAATGATATCTCTTTAACAATTGATATCAAAATTTTCAAATGCATAACATTTTTGGAAAACTTTATGCATATGCACTTAATTTTAACAATTGGTATTAATATCAAATTTCAACAATTGGTATTGCATAAAGTATTTTAGACTTGGATATATTGAATTTCATGTGCCTCTAACATGTTTGTTATTATTTGTAGAAATTCAATATTTTGTTTAAGTGTCATGAACTTAAAAGCTTAATTTTATTTGGAATGCATTTATTCAGGGGGAGTTTTGATTTTTCAAATGATTTTTAAAATGTCAAATTTACTACTTACTCTCCAAAGTTATTTTGAACTTCAAAGATTGAATTATTTTTGATATAACAAAAAGGGGGAGAGGTTATGGTTTGAAAAATTCAATTTCTTAATGAAAAAGGAGAAAATGGGGAGCTTAACATTTTCATATGTTTTCCAACAACTAGTATCTTTTTCATTAAACATTTTACTAAGGGGGAGTTTTGTCAAAAACAATTTTTCAAATGTTTTGTTATATCAAAAAGGGGGAGATTGTTGAACTATGTTTCGATATAACAATTTAAGGCAAAATGGTTTTTGGACTTGAATTGAATTTACAAAATGTTTTTGGACTTAATTGAATTTATTCAAAGTTTTTAAAAGGTTTTAAAAATAATTCAAAATCAATTAAAATTCAGATTTGAGCCAAAAATATTTTAAGGGGTTTCAAGATTGCCCAGGGGGTATAGATTCCCCCCCCAGGGGGTACAGATACCCCGGGTACAGATACCCCCCAGGGGGTACAGATACCCCCTGCAGGTTTTTGCCTCCAAGAAAAACAGAATGTTCAGGGGGTACCGATTCCCCCCCAGGGGTATCGATTCCCCCCTGTTCAACAGCCCAACGGTCATAATATTTGAATATTATGAAGGGGTATCGATTCCCTATGAAGGGGTACCGATTCCCTCTATTCTGGGCAACCTTTTTGAGTATAAAAATCATCCCCAAACGGCTCCAAAACATCCCCAACGGCTATATACGACTTCAAACTCATTCCAAGCTATAAATACAAGCTGAGGACACTTGAAGAAGTAAGAGAACAACTATCCAAGCAATCAAACACAAGAGAATAGTTTTTCAATCTTATTTCATCTTTCTCTTGTAAATATTTTGTTCTTGTGAGCTCAATCTTGTAAACACCTACCTTAGAGAGGTTTTCTTGTTTACTTATTTTATCCTTTTGTAAAGGGAAAAGGTTCTAGCTTATCCCGTGTAAAAGCTAGGGAAAGGTTCTAGTTTAGCCCGGAAAAACTAGGGAGTTTGTAAGGTTACTCTTTATCCTCAAAAGAAAGAACAAATTAGTGAATTTGTTGGAAAATCCTTGGTGAGGAGCTAAGGTAGTGGACGTAGACTTTGTTTGAGAAAGTCGAACCACTATAAATCGCTGTGCAATTCTCTATCTTTCAATCTCCTTACTCCCTAAACACAAAACCGTTCCGACCCCTCTTTGCAAATCGTTCCGGTTGTCGTTTCGAGCTTCCAAAAATCCTAACAAAAAGAAAATCGTTTTCAATTTTAAATTTTGAAATCATTTTCTTATATTTGGAGTTCATGGTCTCAAACTCCGAATATAATCTATTAAAAGCATCTTGTAACTCATCAAACGTATATGAATTAAATTCATTTGAGTTAGAAGATACCTCGGGCTCTTCATAAGCCATTAGAGACACCACCTTTGTTGGTTCTTCTTTCTTGTTTCCATAGATTTCCTCGAGCTTATTCCAAAGCTCCTTGGCACTTGAACATGAAGAAACTCCTTCATAGATTTCAGGACCAAATGCACAAAACAACATGTGCATGGCCTTGGCATTAAGTTGAGCTTTCTTCCGTTCTTTGTCACTTCGCTTCTTCTCCTTTTTCTTTGGAGAAGAGTAGCCATTCTCGATTATCTCCCATACATCAAGATCATTGGATTGGATGAATACCTTCATTAATTTCTTCCAATGATGATAGTTGTCTCCATTGAAGTATGGAGGCTTGTCTGTTGGTAGGGAGTCTTCCATGTGGAACGAGCCGGAGGTGGAGGCCATCTTCTCGGTTGTGTCGGGAATTGGTAGAGCTTCTTCTAGGATCGTCTCAAGGTGGTTAAACCTTCTTAACGAGTTAGGCTCTGATGCCAATTGTTAGGATTTTCGGAAGCTCGAATCGACAACCGAAACGGTTTGCAAAGAGGGGTCGGAATGGTTTTGTGTTTAGGGAGTAAGGAGATTGAAAGATAGAAAATTGCACAGCGATTTAGAGTGGTTCGACTTTATCAACCAAAGTCTACATCCACTACCTTAGCTCCTCACCAAGGATTTTCCAACAAATTCACTAATTTGTTCTTTCTTTTGAGGACAAAGAGATAACCTTACAACTCCCTAGTTTTTCCGGGCTAAACTAGAACATTTCCCTAGCTTTTACACGGGCTAAGCTAGAACCTTTCCCTAGCTTTTACACGGGCTAAGCTAGAACCTTTCCCCTTTACAAAAGGATAATAAGTGTAAACAAGAAAACCTCTCTAAGGTAGGTGTTTACAAAATTGAGCTCACAAGAACAAAATATTTACAAGAGAAAGATGAAATAAGATTGAAAAACTCTTCTCTTGTGTTTGATTGCTTGGATAGTTGTTCTCTTTCTTCTTCAAGTGTCCTCAGCTTGTATTTATAGCTTGGAATGAGTTTGAAGTCGTATATAGCCGTTGGGGATGTTTTAGAGCCGTTTGGGGATGATTTTTATACTCAAAAAGGTTGCCCAGAATAGAGGGAATCGGTACCTCTTCATAGGGAATCGATACCCCTTCATAATATTCAAATATTATGACCGTTGGGCTGTTGAACTGGGGGGAATCGGTACCCCCTGGGGGGGAATCGGTACCCCCTGGACATTCTGTTTTTCTCGGAGGCAAAAACCTGCAGGGGGTATCTGTACCCCCTGGGGGGGTATCTGTACCCGGGGTATCTGTACCCCCTGGGCAATCTTGAAACCCCTTAAAATATTTTTGGCTCAAATCCGAATTTTAATTGATTTTGAATTATTTTTGAAACCTTTTAAAAACTTTGAATAAATTCAATTAAGTCCAAAAACATTTTGTAAATTCAATTCAAGTCCAAAAACCATTTTACCTTAAATTGTTATATCGAAACATAGTTTAACATTTTATCTTTCAATTTAAATAGTAAACCTGATAAAATTAATAGACTAATAAAAAAATATGTTATACATATTTTAATAATTTAAATAATTTTATTCAAATGACACGTGTTCAATCAAATTTGACAAACTTGGCCCATAACCTAGACTTTTGGACAGATATTTATTATAGAATTAATTTTTAAAGAGCCGTTGCCAATTTATGAGTTGACTCAAAAATCTTAATTTAATTTTCTTATGGTCTTTGTATTCAAAAAAATATATATGAAGCATCAATTGGCCAATTATTATTTAATTCTTAGATATAAATTTTAATTCCCAAAATTTTAAAATAATTTAATAATAATTTTTATTAATATAGAGGGATTAAAATGGTAGTATTGTTCTAAATACTATTTTTCATTTGACAATAAATATTCAAATATCATGCAATCACTAGTATTCGAACTCGGAACCGTAAGGGATCACAATCATCCCTTTAATCAAAAGACCTCGATGATAAATGGATTGTTATTGTTCATTGAGATCTAGGATTCTAACATCAAAAAATACCGAAAATGCAAATCTTCAAAGTCAAATACTTAAGAGTTATCTTTAAATAAATACTGAGTGATACTCGCCTATGGTTAATAAGAAATATATATTTTAGTGGAAAGATTAGATTCACCAAGTCTCCAACAGCTCAAATGGAACTACTACTTAGGTCATCTCCAGCGCATCGTTGGAGTGACATTCATCTCCACTTTGGAGATGATTCTATGCTCTAGCCCATCGTCATTGTTATGTTGGATTGTAGCGTAGGGCTATAGTGCACGCTACAACTGGTGTTGCACTGTAGTTGCGCTACAATTTTTTCTTCTTCTAATTTGTATGTTGAGGATTTTTTTTTCTTTTTGATTTTTGGTTTTTTTATTATATGTAGAGATAATGCTGGAAATAAATTATTGTTTCATCTTTAGGGTAGATATAGAGATGTTGTAAAGTAAAGATGAGGGTTGGAGATGACCTTAACGTTTATATACTTTATACTTTGGTAAACTACTGTTTTGGTCAATCAAAGTTTTCTCTATTTCTGTTTTAGTCACTTAATTTTAAAATTTCGACAAGGCAAACAGCACACCTATGCAATGTTTGCCGTAAGTAAAAGCATGACGTGAACCAGTGATTAATGAAACAAAGATTCGTTACTACTACACTAAAAAGGCTAACATAATATAATATAAAAAAATTAAAAGGAAAAGGGTGGGAATTTGTATGGTAGAAGTAGAACAGCCAGCCATGGAAACAGACATTAACAATGGAAAAAAGACAGGGAATCGTATGCCTTACTTAAGCCCTCAAAACCCTTTGTTAAAGCATTGAGTAATATGTTAATGGCAAGTTGTTCTTCAAACTCAATTCTGTATATATATATATATATATATATATTGAATAATTAGTTATATTCTTTATATATTATTGTTTTTTCTCTTAGCTGATTGGCTTTTGCATGTGTTGGTTTTCCGTGTCAATTTTAGCACTTGTATATTATTAAATTCTTTGAGCTGTACCATGGGATATTAGGATGTGAGCTTTGGATCTTGTAAGTGCTAAAAAAATCTTGGGTATTTCGAATCATTTTTGTTAGATTTTTTTTAAGAAAAAAAAACCTCACTGCTGTTCTTTTCATCCTTCATTTTTAAACTGTTGTTGACAATTTTAGTAAAACCCCATGTTGGTTTCATCCCCAGAAGTGCATGTATTTCTCCTTGATTGCTTCTGTTCACGTTTTTGCTTACCTTTGTCGGCAGGTGGTGCTTGGAATCTTGAATTCATGATAATCTGAGACAGGAAAAATCCAGTTTGTCTTGTTTCAAAGACAAGATTTTTTTTTGTTTTGTTTTTGGTCATAAGAAGACATGGATGAGGTCTTGTTGATTCCCAGATTCATCAGAAGAATTTTCATGTTGTTGAGTCTTTGGTTCCTATGCATCCCTGTTGGAGTCATCTGCAGCACTGTGAATGTTTCAGCTTCTTCGAACTCTTCTTCTTCTTCTTTGAAGCCAAAAGTTATAAATATTGGAGCTTTGTTCACGTTGAATTCAGTCATTGGAAGAGCAGCACAGCCTGCGATTGAAGCCGCCATTGATGACGTCAACTCCAATGCCAACATTCTTAATGGGCTTCAATTGAAACTCGTTGTCCGTGACACAAATTGCAGTGGATTTGTTGGAACCATGGAAGGTGTGTGTTTTTCTCTTATATACCCTTCAATTTGTGCCTAAAACGTCTGATACTTGTGGCACTGTAATATAAAAATCTATTAATTTGCACTAATCTTCTGTTTTAAAGAGATTTTATTGATGATCAACTCAACTTTAGCCTGCTGTCTTTGTTTGTGTAGCTTTGCAGCTAATGGAGAGTGATGTTCTCGTCGCGATCGGTCCGCAATCCTCCAGTATAGCTCATGTTATCTCTCATGTTGTTAATGAGCTTCATGTCCCTCTTCTCTCGTTTGGAGCAACGGATCCGACTCTTTCGTCGATGCAGTACCCGTATTCGTCCGGACTACGCACAGCGACTACTTCCAAATGTATGCGATCGCCGATATAGTCCATTACTACGGTTGGAGGGAAGTGATAGCTATATATGTGGATGATGATTATGGGAGAGGTGGGATTTCTGTTTTGGGTGATGCCCTGGCGGCAAAACGTGCCAGGATTTCGTATAAGGCCGCCTTTGTCCCCGGAGACACCGCGAGTAAGCTCAATGACTTGCTCGTCCAGGTTAACCTGATGGAGTCTCGAGTTTATGTAGTTCATGTTAATCCAGACACTGGTGTGAATATCTTCTCTGTTGCTAAGTCTCTTAGTATGATGAGTGATGGCTATGTTTGGATTGCTACGGACTGGCTTCCTTCGTACATGGATTCGAAGGAGTCGGTCGATCCCGACACGATGAATCTCTTGCAAGGAGTCATCGCTCTCCGTCATTACACCCCCGATACTGATCTGAAGAAGAGTTTTATGTCTAAGTGGAACAACCTGAAGTACAAGGGAAGTGCAGGTCATGAAGGCTTCAATTCTTATGCACTTTATGCTTATGATTCGGTTTGGTTGGCCGCACACGCCCTCGAGGCTTTTCTCTACGAAGGCGGAAATTTGTCGTTCTCTAGTGACCCGAATCTGCACGATACCAATGGCAGCATGCTGAATCTAGCATCGCTTCGTGTGTTTAATGGCGGCGAAAAACTTCTTCAAACACTTCTGAGAATGAACTTCACTGGTCTAAGTGGTCAGGTTCAGTTTAATCCAGATAAACATCTAGTTCATCCTGCATATGATGTTCTTAATGTTGTTGGAACCGGAACTCGTAGAATAGGCTATTGGTCGAATTATTCTCATCTCTCGATCGTTCCCCCGGAGACCTTATATTCAAAGCCTCCCAATGTATCTACTGGCAGTCAACATCTTTACAGTGTGATATGGCCCGGTGACACTACCGCAACGCCAAGGGGATGGGTATTTCCTAACAATGGGCAGCCTCTGCGAATCGCTGTACCCAACCGAGTCGGTTATAAAGAGTTTGCCTCGAAAGACAAGAGTCCTCAGGGTGTAAGAGGATACTGCATTGATGTCTTCGAAGCAGCGATAAGCTTGCTCCCGTATGCAGTCCCTCACACGTATATGTTATTCGGGGATGGTAAAAGAAATCCGAGCTATGATGACCTTGTCTACAAGGTTTCTCAAAACGTGAGTATCTGCTTTAACTGGTTGCCCTTCGAATTTAGCTAATCCGATTTTGAGCAACGGTCCGAGGCTTTCGGCTCCCCCGCTCAAGATCGAGGTTCTAGGAACTATCTTGACTAGCTGCCTTATTCTTTAGGTATATGATGCTGCAGTTGGAGATGTTACTATCGTAACGAACAGGACAAAGATCGTAGACTTTACGCAGCCTTATATGGAATCCGGACTCGTCGTTGTTGCGCCAGTGAAGGAGGCCAAATCAAGCCCTTGGGCGTTCCTCAAGCCATTTACTAGAGAAATGTGGTTTGTCACTGCTGCATTCTTTCTCTTTGTCGGAGCTGTCGTGTGGATTCTCGAGCACCGGATGAACCAAGAATTTCGCGGTCCTCCGAGGCAACAGCTTATAACAATTTGTTGGTTAGTCTATTAATTACCTCATTGGCAATAAATTACAGTGTCATATTACGAAAACCATAATTATGCATGATCAAGTGCATTTTTCTTTACAAAGAGTCTGCATTTCATCCTTCTGGTGCATGTTAACCGAGGCTGCAACACTAGGCTCGGATTTGTTATGAACTAGACGTAGCGATTGTGTTGACGTCTGTTTTCCCTAATTGCAGGTTTAGCTTCTCGACGATGTTTTTCTCGCACAGTAAGTAAATCATTAGCCCTCTATGCTTCGACGAAATTCCATGTCACGAACGCGTAAAATCCTCTGTTTCGGTCTAATGCAGGAGAAACCACCGTGAGCACTTTGGGACGATTGGTGTTGATCATATGGCTATTCATAGTTCTGATCATTAACTCGAGCTACACTGCTAGTTTAACATCGATACTCACGGTGCAGCAGCTAACATCGGGGATTCGAGGGATTGATAGCTTGATCTCAAGTACCGAACCTATCGGAATCCAAGACGGTTCGTTTGCTTTGAAGTATTTGGTTGACGAACTCAGTATAGCACAATCTAGGATAGTTCATTTAAAAAATCCAGAGGCATATCTCAGAGCCCTTGAGCTTGGACCGAAGAAGGGCGGAGTAGCTGCCATTGTCGACGAGCTCCCTTACGTCGAGCTCTTCTTATCGACCACCAACTGTCAATACCAAATTGTTGGCCCCGAATTTACGAAGAGCGGATGGGGCTTCGTAAGTATCAACGTTACATTTCTAACGTCCATTTTATGGCGTCACAACTCTATGTTTCACGTCCGAAATGTAATCTGACTTAATCGTCGTTCGCCATTCGTGTTTTCAGGCTTTCCAAAGGGACTCCCCTCTCGCGGTCGATATGTCGACTGCAATCCTGCAGCTCTCGGAGAACGGCGATCTCGAGAAAATACGTAACAAATGGTTGACGCACAGCGAGTGCGTGTCGCAAGTTAATCAAGTTGGCGAGAACCAACTCTCCCTCAACAGCTTTTGGGGCCTGTTCCTCATATGTGGCATTGCTTGTGCGTCTGCTCTCATCATATTCTTTTGCAGAGTCTTTGCTCAGTACCGCCGGTTCATCCCCGAAGACGAGGAAAGCAATGTCGAGACGATCGAGCCTTCGAGGTCGAGCCGACGGTCCATCCGCGCGACGAAGAGCTTTAAGCAGATAATTGACTTTGTAGATAGGAAAGAAGCAGAGATTAAGCAGATGTTGAAGAGAAAGAACAGTAATGAGAGTAAACAATAGAACAGCCATAGTTTCTCATATGGTCAAACAAGTTCACCTTCTTAGAAATACAAAAACAGAAACAGTTTGATTTGATCTGTTGGAACTTCAAATCTTCCTTTTTTGTGTTTTGTGTTAGGGAATCAATACAAATTCATAAATCCAATCTATTAGAGCTCCATTGTCCACGACAGTCGGTGGCGGATCCAAAAATATTTTTTAGTAATAACATAAAATTTTTAAATAAAAAGAGTACAAATAAAATTTCAATGTGGACACCGTTCGTAAAATAAATAACTAATTAAAGAAAACTCAAATTTCAGAGTGTGCACGAAAAATTTTAAGGTCGGCACCATCGGCAAAATAAATAACTAATGGACACGTGTCCAGCCTCATTAAGCTGATCATAGTGAAATTGATAAAATATATAAATGTTTGAAAGTTAAATGTGTTATTAATATTAAAAGAGATGCTATATTAATTTCGAATCTAGTTTGAGTTTAATACTTTATTTAATTGTTTAATTTCGAACCCACGCAGAATAAGATAACATGATTAGCTATAACCATTAAATCCATTAATGAATCTAAATATTTATTTAATAAATCTTTAATGAATAATAATTGTACCAACTTCTTAAACAAAAACTATGAGCCACGTATTCAAAGAAGTGGGATAATGAGCATGAATTAGTTGGGTTTGATCATTATTCAACCCAATATAGTTGATAATAATTATCTATAATAACCTCAATGGAATGTGAAGTCAGAATTTAATTTTTAAAAAACTTACATGATCTTGTCAACTCAGCACCCACCTTTTGGGTCATTTTACCGAAAAATCACGCTGACAATAAATAATTATTTGTCAGACATTGTTTCGTCAAATTTTATCGATTTAACATTTTTTTGGGGTTTCGCTCGAGCTAATACTATATCCGAGCTGATGCCACATAAGGACAGGCGCAGATCGCCATCCGCTCCTTAGCATTTTAAAAATTTTAAAAATAAAATTATTAGGACTAACATCGTAATTTAACACATATTAGTTCTATGAGTTGAAGAGCTTAATAGGGTTAGCTTATATAGTCATATTGGAGTGTTTATGTTATGTTTGTTGATAATGTGAGATAAAAATTAAAATATTATTAATATATTTTTAAAATAAATAATTACATGAGAGGTCAACTTAACAATAAAAAAATAAACACATGATTATTATATTTTAAGTTTGTAATACATTATGTATTGCATTATGTTTTGAGTTAATTTTTATATATTGTGTTTTAATCATTTATTTAATATAAATTTACAGTGATTATTATATTATAATTTGATTGTTCTAGTATTACTAAAAACTAGACAATTCTTAGATGAAATCATAAATAATTAAGTAGAATAAGATAATTTATGAACTTTTACTATTTTAACCTCAAAGTAACCGGTATCATATATATATATATTTTAAAATATGTTTAAATTTAATTTAATAATACAATGATATTTTGGTTAGTAATTTTAAAATACAGATAATATATTTTAATAAATATCTAAGTCTAATATAATACCTTGGGCTCTAAAGAAAACACCTTGGACTATTGCACCTTTAACTGGCTTGGACTTGTAAAATTGGCCCAATACTATAGACGAACTAATTATTTAGCCTAATATGGCATCAGATATTTTATTTGGAAACTACGACATTTGTTACAACGAATTAGAATATATTTTTTTATTAGAACTTGTCATTATGATGTGATAAAATTTTAATAAAAAATTATATTTTTTGAAACTCATCGCTTCGACGTGACGAGTTTGAATAAAAATATTATTTGGGGTGAACTCAACATGTGAACGTGATGAGTTTACCTGCACTGGAACATTTCTCGTAGATTTCAAATTAATATTTGAGGAGAAATTATTTCATGATCCCGACTCACCACATCACTTATGGCCCCAGTGAATCACATTTATCAATTTTAAAATAACTTCCAAGTAACTGCCAATTCTTTATTTACACGTTTGAAATATGTGAAGATTTACATTGAAAAAAAAAATAAGATGAAATAATATTATTGGCTGAGACCACGGATGGCGTGGTAAACCAGGTTGATCTAATAATTTTTCATCTTTGAGACAACCTAATGGACAAATTTTTTTACCCGCATGACCTATTGGACTAATTTTACTGGTTTGGACTTGATTGGGCCTCAATCCATTTATGGGATATTAGACCACTAAACCAAATTGATTTTGGACCTAGAAAGTTGCGGAAATAACCCTCAGGTCAATACATAAAGAAGTAAACGTATTCAATTGATTAATTCGATTCTCGATCAATTCAAATTAATCAAAATTAAAGTAAATGCATTATTTTTATTTAATTAGATAAAAATTATTAACTGAAATAAATAAAATCTATTAATTCAATCGGTTTTTAAATTACTCAAAACATTCTAAAACTTTTAGTTTGATTAATTTATGTGTACTAGATGTAACATTTTTCAATTGAATTAAGTTTGTTTGATTAAGTTTAATGAATTTAATGTAGTTGAAAAATAATTGTGTCTTATTCTATTAAAATATATATAATATATAATACACTAAATATCTAATATTTCAATTAATTTGGTTAATCGAGTATCTCAGTGGTTAAAGTAAGTATTGCTCTCCCGTGAGGTCTCGAGTTTGAGCAACTGCATCTATAGGGTGTGTATATTGTCAACGATTAAGAAAGATTATGTGTATATTATTATCTTATAATTACCTTAGACTATTAAAAAAATAGGATAAACTACACCATTAGTACCTAAACTATCAGTTTTAATCCATTTTAGTACCTTAACTTTCAAATTTTTTAAATTCATACCTAACATTTAGTTTTCATTTCATTTTAGTATACCGCCGTTAAAAACTTAACGCGTTCTCTATCAATTTTGGTCCGTTTTAATACCTAAATTTTCAATTTTTTTAAACTTAACGTTAAATTTTAAACGGGTACTAAAATGAAACAAAACTAAAGTTTTTAGCGGTGGGTACTAAAATGAAACAAAAACTAAACTTTAGGTATAATTTTGAAAAACTAAAAGTTTAGGTACTAAAATGGGCCATAACTGATAGATTAGGTACTAAACACGTAATTTGGCCAAAAAATTAAACACATTGATCTAATAGCTAATTATCAAACCGACTGATCAAATTAAATTCCAATCCGATCAGTTAATTTGACTAACTGAAAATGATTCGTTCCTAATGCCGGGCAACCGTCCCGTTTAAGCAGTCGCTAAAAAGGTCTCCCATTCGTCAGTTGAAACTGAAAATTGGAGCGCTTTTTCCAAGAATATCCACAAGGTTTTGAAAAATCACGAGAATTTATACAGCCCTGGGGATTTAGATTTCATGGTCGAAATCCATACAGTCCGAGGCCATCGAGAGTGAGGAATTATGACCCAGATCGCCCCCAAATTGGCTAAAAGCAGCTTCAGGCTCAGAGTCCAGCGTCGCGTTCTGCTTCTGCGGCGGTGCTTTTGTTGTTTTTGGGACAGACTCCTCATGTGTTCCCCGGGAAATCCTATCGGGTACCGTATATTACCACGTGCTGCCACCCCCGCCGCCGACGGTTCCACGGCGTCGACTAACCTCACTACGCCGCCGTCGCCCGTTTGCCATAGTAGCGGCCGCCAAGATCTTAAGGACTCGGATTTGGTTCCGTTGAAGATCAGCCTCTTGGGTGACCCTCAAATTGGTAAAACCAGTTTTCTGGTTAGCTCCAAGACCAAATCTACAAACACTGATATGTTTGTTAATTGAATGCACATCTTTTCATTGTCTTTCGAAGGTGAAATATATTGGGGATGAGAAAGATGAACAAGAAGACAATCAAGAGAAAGGGTTGAATTTGATGGACAAAACATTTATTGTAGAAGGAGCAAGAATATATTACAGTATCTGGGAAGTTGATGGTATGCCATTTTTTAAACAAAATTACAACAATATATAAGAAACTTTATTTATTTTTGAAACTGGAAATGCAGGAGCAGAGAAATCACCAAATCACATTCCCCTAGCTTGCCAAGATTCTGCAGCAATTCTTTTCATGTTTGATCTAACAAGCAGATGCACTTTAACCAAGTATGATCATCAACAATTAGCTCCTTGAATTTTGAAATCTGGGTAATATTCTGAATTGATTTTGTTTATGTATTCTGTGGTTGCAGTGTCATAAGCTGGTATCAAGAAGCAAGGAAATGGAATCAGGTTTTCACATTTTTCATCATTTACCATCGTTTGGGAACTCTATTGTACGTTGATTATTGCGACACTTGATTACGCAGATGGCGATACCGATTTTGATTGGAACCAAATTCGACGATTTCATTCAACTTCCTATCGATTTGCAGTGGAAGATTGCTAGTCAGGAAAATTGGTCTTACCATTCTTGTTTGATAGAACCATTTTAAGAACACCGGAGAGGCATGTTATGTCTTCCAAACATCGGAATCCGGTACCGGAAACCGATCTACGAGTATATCCCCGGACGATAATGGTTCGGTTTTTGGGTTTTCATGACAGGCAAGAGCATATGCGAAGGCCCTAAATGCTACACTCTTCTTTTCAATTGCTGCATACAACATCAACGTGAACAAGATCTTCAAATTCGTTACGGCAAAGCTCTTTGATCTGCCATGGACGGTTGAACGCAATCTCACAATAGGAGAACCCATCATCGATTTCTAAAGTTTTCCTTCTCCGTACATACAAAAACAAAAGAAAGCTGCCCAGATCTCTAGAAAACCTAGTTTTAATATATATATACACTAAACCCTAAACAATAAACATGTACACTACCGTTACATATCTCCATTTTTTCTCTCACTAAATTTTAATTTTCTCCAGATGAATCACGCCACAAACTTTCAGAACCGGATGAAATTAATTTCTAATTAAAATCTCTAATAATTTTAACATTTTACTAAGAGTTTTGTTGTGGTAAAATACGCGTTTAATACCTAAACTAAAAGTTTTGGTCCGTTTTAACACCTAAACTTTTAATTTTTTCAAAATCATACATAATTAGTATCACGTGGCTAAAAACTTAATGCGTTTAGTACCTAAACTATCAGTTTGGTCCGATTTAGTATATAAACTTTCAATTTTTTTCAAAACCATACCTAATGTTTAGTTTTCATTTCATTTTAGTATCACGTCATTAAAAACTTAACGCGTTTAATACCTAAACATTCAATTTTTTTCAAAATTTAACGTTAAATTTTAAATGAGATACTAAAATTAAAAAAAAAAACTAAAGTTGTTAACGACATGGTACTAAAATAAAACAAACTTAGATATGGTTTTGAAAAAAATGAAAGTTTAAGTATTAACACGTATTAAAACTGATAGTTTAGGTACTAAAACATAATTTATCCTTGTACTTTTATATATAAAAAAGAGAATTAGCTACTGCTAGCAAAGAACCTGAACAGGTTTATGAGTTGTATTTTAAAGAAAAATTGCAAAGAGTAACTCTTGTTATAATACGTAAAACCTAAGTGCCGTGTAAAATTAAGAGTTGTATTGTCGTTGATATTTCTTGCCTAGAAATTGTAGATAATATAAACGTAATTTTATATATTATACAATAATATAATGCGGTGACTCATCCCAATTAAGATAAAATGCAATGACGTTTTCCTTTATAGGGAACCTGTTTGTTTTGGCTCAATAAATGTTTACATTAAGATAAAAGGTTAATAAAGTAAGTAAACTGATCAAATCAGTACAATAACATACTTCAACAAAAAATTGAATAACACCAAATGAGGGGTTATGCCGTACGGCAATCCTAATATACGATAAGGAAAGACGCTATCAAAAATGTTATTATTTTTTAACATTTTCAGTAAAAAAATTACCAAAAACATTATTTTTTTTACCTAAAACATTAATGTTTTTTTAACATTTCCAGTAAAGTGCCCAATATTAGCATTTTCGATAAAAAAATAATGTTTTAGGTAGCGTTTTACCAAATATGTTAACAAATTCGGTAAAGCGCCCAATAATAATATTTTCAGTAGAAATAATAATGTTTTAGGTAATTTTTACCGAAAATATTAAAAAATAATATTTCCAGTAACGTATTTCCTTAGTCGTATATTAACCTGCCGCACGTAAGACTTCCCCAAATCAAATACACTCACGGTATGTTATAAATGTGAAACTAAAAATCAGATAGAAAAATATTTTCAAACAAACCATTGCGATAACACCTGTATAATGATAATCCCAACATACACTTCTCGGTAGGGACAAATGCAAATTTGTGTAGGAGTGAATTTGAACTTATAAAATTTTAGGAGCGAATTTGAACATGTAAAGTTTTATAGGACGAAAATAGATTTTCAATAAAAGAATACATATAAAATATTTAAAATATATAGTAATTTTAAAATTTTAGGTACGACTACCCGCGGCCCATCCCTGGTTCTCGGATAATTGAAGCCTTGAATCGTTTTTTTAATGTGATTATTTGTGATACGTTGAAAGCGTAGGTGGGCACTTCGATACTTTATAACTCAAAACTATTATTGATATGTGACAAAATACATTACAACGACGTTACTCTGATACTACAACACTAGCTGCTACTAATTTACAAACACCACCAATATAGCTTCGCTAAGCTTCACCCTCTCTCTAATAGCTTTGCTAAGCTCTCTCTCTAACTCTCGGTTTTTTCTTTCTTTCATTCACTACTCACGTACATCATATTTCAGTGGTTGTTTCAGGATGCATAATGGTTAAGCATTAAGGATGCTATCATTTCATTTTGCTGCCGTACACTTGCTTCCTTCATGCAATTGCCAACGTTGGCAACATGCAAAAAAAAATATTCTTTGGACAGCTGCCACCCTATCTTTTAACACGTTTATGGCCTCCTTAATTCTTAATTATTAAGATAATATGGAGCTTGGCAACACATCATCGTCAACTTTCTTCACTTGGCCATTCAACAAATGGTTACTTCATGAACTATGTATCTTGCCGACATACATACAATCAGGTGTGTAATTCTAACATGATAATGATGTAATTTCTTAAGGGTTTGGAGGCTTTTAATATGCGAGTTTCATAACTCGTAAAATAAAAATAAAAAAAACATATTTTAAACACCTATTTTTAAAATAAATCTTCAAAGATATTAGATCATAACTAGAAAACTTACAAGGATATGCCCGTTAGTCAAAAGTATGACCAAGAAATCAAAATTGACTGGTTTAGTATGTATTTTGATCGCAGCGGAGCCGCCGATTAAGGAAAAAAATTCCCCATTTCATTTCATATATTTTTAGGGCAAATTATGCATTTAGTACATAAACTATCAATTTTAGTTCGTTTTAGTATTTTTTTCAAAACCATGCCTAAATTTTAAATTTTATTTCATTTTAGTATTCGTATTCAAAATTATTTAACGTTAAATTTTGAATAAAATTGAACGTATATGTACTAAACCGGAAAAAAATTAATAGTTTAGGTATTAGATGTGTAAGTTTTTACAGTGGAGTACTAAAAGGAAATAAAAATTAAATATTAAGTATAATTTTAAAAAATTAAAAGCTGAAGTATTAAGAAAGACCAAAATTAATAATTTAAGTACTAAACACGTAATATACCTATTTTTTATTCGTCTCGTCAAACGTGGCTGCTTTTTACCAAATATAATAGTGTCATAACTAATCCACCCACCACCACTCTCCGCCAAAGTCAAATCAAATATTAGAGCACCAAATCACTTGCAGGAGAATCAAAAACAAAAACAGTGATCGTCGAAAAGAGAAACATGGGATTCATAGGCAAAGTGGTGGATGCGATTCTGTTGCTAACATTCTTGTCCATGTCGTTGGTTCCTCCGTTGCTCGACGCCCAAGCCCTTCTGCCGGAATCCGCCGTCCCCGCCGTCCTCGTCCGTCTGTACAAATGGTACACGACGGAGCACCAGGATTACTTGCTGCTGGAGCAGCCTGCTTTTTTCATGGCGCTCATGAAGCTGGAGATTTTCTTTGTCTGGCCGCTCGCTATGATCAACCTTTACGGGTTGTTGAACTCCAAGCCTTGGTTCAAATCCACCTGCCTCATCTTTGGCTCCGCCCTAGCTACCTCCACGGTAAATTAATCTGAATCTCCGTCCCTTTCCTCTAAGCTCGGTTCTAATTACGCTCTGCTGAAATTTTCAGACGGCTATGGTGGGAGACATGCTGGGATCCAAGAAGCCTATGGCGGATAAACTGGCGATGATGTACTTTCCTTTTATAGCGCTTGGGTTCCTCGCCGTGCTGCGAGGGCTGCTTACACCGTCAACCAAGGCTGTCTCCGCCCGTGCCGACGGAACGACGACCAGGGATTTGAAAAAAGAGGTTTGAAGTTGATGAGTTTCGAAAGATGGTCTCTTCTTCGTTGAAACAATAATATGGGAGGGATTTTGCTCTGTGTTTGTGTATGTAAACAAGTTGAGTGAAGATCATCATCTTCTTCGTTGACTCGATGAGTTTCTTTGTCATGTTTATGTAGTTTTACTTTGAATTATGTAGTTTATGGGAGATAATTACGATTACGATTATGATCCATTCTTTCTATTGATAAAATCCCATCTTAATTACATTTCCACTTTACGTATACTGTTATTGGTTAAAATCAATTAATTTTATATGATGAAACAATTAACACATAAGTATCTTGAAAGGATAATTAAATCAACCAAATTAAGCTCATGACATAATTATTAAGAATTACAGTAAAATAAATGAAAATTTACTTGGTCATTTTATTATGATAGTCGAATATCCTAAAAGCAAGAAATAATAAAGTTATTCAATTACAATACTGCATAATCCTCAATTATCTTGTGATGATATCAGATCTGTTTGATTCTGATGAAAGAATCAGAATCCCAAAATAGAGAGTTCTTTTTTTTAAGAGATAAAAAGAAAGAGCTTTGAAAAAAAACTATTGTCCACGTGAGTCTTTTTAAAAAAAAAATTAATTCTACTATTTTTTAAATCACAAAATAATCGAAATGTCAAAATAATCGAAATGTCCTCTACTTTCCAGTTACACATAACACCATTCAAACTTATATTTTCACAGTATAGGACGAAAGTATTTACACCCGATAATTGTCTCCTCAATACTACACTAATTATCATTGTGTGTATAACAACAATTATTAATTACTTAAATTATATAAATCAATATTAGAAATCAAAATTTCTAACATTCTCCCACTTGATTCATATATAACAAGTATATAACATATTAACATAATTTAAGCTCACTTAAATAATGTAATATACAAGTCACAACTTCGTAAGAGCTAAACCGACCTAATCATGGCGGTCACAGGCCTGACAAACGTCCCAATTATTTCCATGTATTACAGGTGAATCCAATTCAACAAACACAAATTAATAAGATAGACACTCGAAAATAACTTATTCGAAAATGTCTTAAAATAAGATCTTATATCTATAATCATAACAAATATGCATAACTAAATATGATTAATAGATAAGCAAAATCCAAACAAACATCGATATCTATAGTATTAAACAAACATAAATGTGCTAGACATATATTCATACATGTATGACTAATCATCCGCTATACAAGGACTTCGCGACTACTCCCATTTCACTAACATGACCAATAAATGTCTTAGGAGCTAGTCCTTTAGTCAACGAATCCGAAATCATATCCTTGGCACCCTTGGATAGATAGATACTTTAAATCCATATGTTTGACACCCTTGGAGTATATATCGTTCTTGGAGAAGAATAAAATTGTTTCATTATCACAATAAATCCTCATCGGTTTAACAATGGTACCAACGATGCCTAAACCATCAACAAAATTGCGCAACCATAACGATTGAATTGTAACTTCAAAATATGCTACAACTTTAGCCTCCATAATGGAAGTAACAATAACAAATTGCTTACTACTCTTCCACGAGACAATTCCATTAGCTAGAAGGAAAACATAGACGAATATAGACTTCCAGGTATCCGAACATCCAACATAGTTCAAGTCCGAGTAACCAACAACCTTAAGTTTACTAGTTTTCTATATGTGAGCATGTGATCCTTAGTGCCTTGCAAGTACCTTAAAACCTTTTTTGTAGCTCTCCAATGAACCAGTCCAGAATTTGATGATGATGACCCAACATACCGACCTCAAAGCTTATATCCAACCTAGTACATGTCTGAGCATACATCAAACTCCCGACTAAATAAGTATAAGGGATATTATCCATTTCTTTGCGCTCCATGTCGTTATTTGGACATTGGGACTACTAAAATTATCTCATTTATGGATGGAACTGGACTAGGTGTACATGATTCCATCTTAAATATTTCTAGAACTTTGTTGCTTTAAGCCTTTTTGAGACAATCCCAAAATTCCTTGTAATTTATCCTGAAATATTTATATTCTGATCACATAGGAAGCCCACCCATACCTTCATCTTAAAGTTGCTAGAAAGGTAGCCCTTCACATGCAATAATCCACGATCACTAGCGGCAAGAAAAATATCATCTACATACACAAAATGATTATAACTGCTTCCCACAACCTTCATCATACTTCTCACCATTTCCATCAATGTACGATTACACCTTTCTGCTGCACCATTTTGATATAGCAATCTGGGCATTGTATACTGAACACAAATGCCTTAGACTCAAGGAGTTTCTTAAATGGACCTGGAATTTGTCCAACTTCCAATGTCTTTCCATAATATTCATCACCTCTATCGGAACATATTACTTAAGCTTTCTATTTAATTACCTCTCAACCTCTGTAATGAATGTCTCAAGGACATCAACTGATTAAGTTCTTTCATACAGTAAATATAGGTATATACCTAGAGTAATCATCAATGAAGGTGATAAAATACCTCTCATCGCCTCAAGACGGTACATCGAAAGGACCACAAATATTTAGTGTATTAAATCAAGTAATTCACTAATCCTTGTGGCAACATGTTTTGATACATGTTTGATTTCTTACCCTTAATGTAATCCACACAAGTATCATTCTAATCGGTAAAATCCAATTGAGAGAAAACTCTATTTTTAATTAGCCTCAAATTCATTTCTTTGGATACATGACCGAGTCTTTTATGCCATACAATAGAACATCGTTGAGTATATTCCTTTTCATACCAACATCACATTAAACATCAACATTAAACATGGAATTAAAAAAGTACAATTTAGATTGAAACAATACAAAGTATCCGAAAATAAACCAGTACCACTAAGGTTTGTTCCACGATACAATGAAAACAACCATGCCCAGTCCTAAATCAAATCCTAAAATATCCAATAGAAACAAAAACAGATTTCTAGAGCATATTAAACATATAGACACTTCTCTAGATCAAGACAATAGATCATATCTAACACAATTCTATATGTCCTTACACTTTCAATTCTAACCTTCATCATGTTTCCCATAAATAGAAAGCTTTCACTTTCCGATATTCGGTGGATATTTAGGTAACCCTACATAACATTATAAACATGAGTCGTCACACTAATATCAACCACCAAGTATTAGAAGGTACCTCAATCAGATTTGATTCAAAGTACACTGAAACAAAATATATACTTATCTTTCAACCATGTTTTTCTCTTTGGGCAATCAACCTTCTTGTGCCCAGGTTTGTTGCCAAAGAAATATTTCAGTATATTTTCAACCCCTCATTGCCCTTAACCGGGTTGCAAATTAAATGGATACTTTCCCTTGTTCTTTCATTTCTTACTGGAGCTTTGTTGCCACTAGAATCAGCGTTGAATTATCACAATAGGCAAAATTGGCTTGGGAAGTTTGACCTTAAGGTTTTCCCTCTGCCTTGCCTCATCTTGCAAGAGCATGACCTTAGTATCCGAAAAAGACCATTATTCCTTAAGTTGGTTGTATGTTCTCCAAAATTGCTTGAAATCATTACCTTACATGATTCAGCATGAACTCAACCACACCCTCTCACCAAGATCCATATCCAAACTTTTAAGCTAATTGTAGGTATTCACCATTTGAGTAATGTGTTATTCCATGACTGAGCTATATTGTACTCTCTATTAGATAAATCATCAATAAGAACAACGACAACATACTTATCCACAATGTCTGTCATAGTACACTTCTTAATTTCAGCACAAATTCCCTTACATTCTCAGTCTTGGACTGGGAAGGTTAATATTAGCGCTATGCTAAACTTAAGAAATCATCATAAGCTATTCAATTTCTCCCAATTCTCCCATAGTTTCTTGTCTACCTCTGGACTAGTATTGGTCGGTTTAGTGGGTTCATCCATAACTAGAGCTAATCGGGTCCCAAAAGGCCAACATTTAGCTTGACATATTGATCCAATCATCATAGTTCTGCCCATTAAACTTGATACCATTGAAAGTCATATTTGACATAGTAAAGAACACTGTAAACATTACATCTTACATATTAATTGATTTGAATTTAAACCACAATTCAGACTATAACATATACCAAAACATTACATTTAAATTCACATTTGGGCTAAATCTAAACATAACCAACAATCATCAAACATGCATTATTCTTATAACATATATAAGGTCAATAATTAAGTTTACTTTAACATACAAGTCATCTTTGGATGTAACTTATATATTAATTAAACAAAGTTCGTAACCTACTTCAATTGTTATTAACCATGAGTAAGATCTACCTTTGGGTAATCGTATAACTACATGTTAATAATATAAATGTTTATTATTCTTAAATGTAATTTATGATGATACATCAAATAAACATTATAAACTAATATAAATCATTTAATGAATTTGAGTGGGTCACTTTGGTGTTAACGTACTCACTAAAATATTAAAGATTTAAATATGACCCAAAATTGTTTGATGTGGTCCTACACTTGCCACGGCAACGTCATTAGCTATACTTACCTCGGTAACTTCACTAGCCACTGCAACGTCATTAACTCTACTTGCCACAACAACTCCATTCACCATCAAACCGAGATCATATAATTGAAACCTATAATAAAAAATACCCAAATTTCTTATGAGGTGATTTAATTACTATCAAACTTGACTCTGATACCAAATGTTAAAATCAATTAATCTTTAATAAGAAAATACACATCACAATCTTAATAAAGTAATTAAATCAATCAAATCAAGTTCATGTCATAATTATTAAGAATTACAATAAAATAAATGAAAACTTATTTGATGATTCTATTATGATAGTCGAATATTCCAAAAACAATAAATAATAAATGTTATCAAATCCCAATATTGTATAATCTTCAATTCACTTTGTGATGATATCTAGATTTGTTTGATTCTTGATGAAAGAATTAGAACCCAAAATAGATAGTGTTCTTATTTTTTAAGGGAGAAAAAGAAAGAGCCTTGAAAAAAAACTGTCAGCTACGTGAGTTTTTTTAAAAAATTGATTCCACTATATTTTTTAAATGTCAAAATAACCGAAAGAACAAAATAATCGAAAGACCAAAATAACCGAAAGATCC